CACCTGCTTTGGTGGGCACTGGGCAGAAATAGGCTGTGGGATGTGCCCGCTGGATCTGGAGATTGTGGTCCCGATCAAAGAGGACCAGGCCCTACAGCTCCAAGCAAGGTCATTTTCTGGCACAGCCTTCGCATCTCCTTCAGCCCTCTGCCAGCCCTGCCTTCGGACACAAGCCTGTTCTGACCATGTGGATGTGTGTTCACCTGGACCCCGAAGATCCCATGGAAGAGGGTAGGCTCTTTTTTAAAAATTTTAGCTTATACTGAAGTATAGTTAATTTACAGTGTCGTGTTTATTTCCCTGTGCACCCACATGGTTCAGTTTCAGGTAAAGATCTACCCTTTAAAGGCTTCTTTTCCACAGATTTGTTAGGGTTTGGAGTCCGGTTCCCTGTGCCTTGCACTAGGTCCTCTTTGAGGATGTATTTCAGATGTATAACTGGGAACCTGTTCATCCCAATAACCTAATGGAATTCCCTACTCCTGCACCTTCTCTTTTGGGGCATCATATTTTTTTTTTCTCTGTAAGTCTCTTTTGTATGGTAAAGCTGCTCTTGATAAATCTGAATTTTCACCTCTTAAGTGTTATCATACATTATTATATTTTTTCATCTGGTTGTGTTCACGCAGTATAATGTTCTGCTGGTCCAGCCATGTGTCCCCCAAATGGCATTATTCTGTTTCTTTCGTGGGAGGAGTAATATTCCTTTGTGTGTTTGTACCTGAGCTTCTATATCCCAGCTGCTTGTGATGGACATTTCTGTTGCTTTTCTGTCCTGGCTGCTGTAAACGGTGCTGCAGTCAAGGGTGGGGCGCGCGGGTCTTCACGCATCGCGCTTTTGTCCCTTTCCCAACTGGGAGTGCAGCTTCTCCATTATCAGGTGACTCTCTATTTCTTTCCCTAAGAAGCCTCCGTCCTGTTCTGCTGATGTCCGTTAGCAGTGTCCATTCCCCACCACATCGTAGGAGGGGCCTGTTTGTCAGGGTCCCTTTCCGGCATCAATCGTGTGTAATCATCCAGTGATGGCCATCCTGTTGACTGCCAGGGGATCCGGGTCTTTGTTCTTTAGATGTGCAGTTCTCCACTAAGGAGTGACACGTGTGTGTTTTGGTGGGACAGTTTTTATGTATAAGAGGGTGTGATGAAGATTGACCTCTTGAAATTGGCTTCTGGGAAATCTAACCTCCTATGAATTCCGTCTCTCATACCTTCGCTGGGACGTCTCTGGATGGCAGGTGTGCTTGCCCGTCTCTCAGTCCTTGCATGCATCCATGGTGTACTCCTCAGCGCCTGTATTAACGGTGTAGTTACGAGAAACAGCCACCAGGCGGCAGGCTTTCTTCATGCCTGAGTCACGGCATCCACAGTCATTCTGCAAGTTTGTTTCCGCCCTGGGTTGTGACTGAGCGTGGAATGTGGCCAGATACACAGCCCGAGGCTTGTGTGTGTTTCCTTCCTCTCCTTTCTCCTTTTGGCCCAGGGGAAAGCCAAGCCCTCAAAGGTCTTTGTGCAGGGTGGTGTGTCCATACTTTGGGCATCTCTAATGAAGGAGGCTAGAGGTAGGGAAGCCATCAGCAGAGGCGGCGGCCAGGTGCCTCTCAGAGCTCATCTGGCCCACAGAGTTACACCTCTTTTGGTGGGCATAGCCAACAGTTGGCTGTGGGATGTGCCCACTGGATCTGGAGATGGTGGTCTCATCTCAGGAGGATCAGGCACTGCAGCTCCAAGCAAGGTCATTTTCTGGCACAGTCTTCGCATCTCCTTCAGCCCTCTGCCAGTCCTGGCACACAGGCCTGCTCTGACCTTGGGGATGTGTAATCACCAGACTGCAAAGAACCCCTGGACAAGGGTAGGCCTTTTAAGTTTTAGTTGATACTGAAATACAGCTTATTTACAGTGGTGTTTTATTTTACTGTGGACCCACATGGTTCAATTTCAGATAGATAGAGATCTACTCTTTTTAGGCTTCTTTCCCCATAGTTGTTAAGATTTTGGGTGTAGTTTTCTGTGCTATACACTGCTTACTTGCTCAGTCTTGCCCAACTCTTTGTGACCCCATGGATTGTAGCCCGCCAGGTTCCTCTGTCCATGGGATTCTCCAGGCAAAAATACTGGAGTGGGTTGCCATGCCCTCCGCCAGGGGATCTTCCTGAACCAGGCATCGAACCCAGGTCTCCTGCATTTCAGGCGGATTCTTTACCACCTGAGCCACCAGGAAAGCCTGTGCTATACACTAGGTCCTTTTTGATGATCTATTCAAATGTATAAATGGGTCCCTGTTAAATCCTAATGACCTAATGAAATTCCCTGCTCATGTACCTTCTCTCGGGGGCACTATATGGTTTTGTTTTTTCTCTGTGAGTCTCTTCTGTGAATCTCTCAAACTTTTTTTTTTTTTGCTCAATTTTAGTTTCCACCTCTAAGTGTTATCATAGAACATGTGTCTTTCTCTGATTTTGGTCATGCAGTATAATGTTCTGCAGGTCCAGTCGTGTGGTCTTTTCCACCTCTTGTTCATGAGGAGAAGTATACGCTTGTGTGTTTGTATCTAAGCTTCTGTATCCCTGCCTCTCTTTCTGGACAGTTTTGTGGCTTTTCTGTCCTGGCTGCTGTAAGCCGTGCGGCAGTCGAGGGTGCGCTGCGTGCGCCTTTAAGCTTTGTGAAGCACGGGGTTTTGTCCCTGTGCTGGCCAGGGGTGCTGCTGCTTAACTCTCAGGTGACCCTATCCCTGAGATAACCTCCATCGTGTTCTGCAGTGTCGGTTACCAGTTTCCACTCCCTGCCACTCCAGGGATGCCCCTCTCTAGCATTTATCCTGTGCAGATATTTGGTGATGTCCATTCTGCTACTGCTAGGCGGACACACCTTGTCGTTTCGATTTGCAGTTCTCCAGTGAGGAGCGTATCGTCTGCATTTTCTGGAACACGTTGTGTATAAGAAGGTGTGATGAAAATTGACCTCTTGATACTGGCTTCTGGGAAATCTCCCCTGTTCTGTATTCCATTTCTCATACCTACTCTGGGACACTTGTGGACGCCAGGTATCCTTTAACTCCTAAGTGCTTGTGAATATAGTCGATTTACATTTCACTGTGCATCTACTTGTTTGTTTATATTCAGATGTAAGTTTACTCCTTTTTGTTTTTTTTCTAATTTAATGTGTGACTAGTAGTATGCAGAATTGTTTATTTAGTTCCTGGAATTTCTGAGCTTTGTCAGATTGCTGAGCCAGCAATGTGGATGGGTTCCTGACACAGTTGGGTATGATGTTGGAGCTGAAACTCCCAGTGGGTTCACTGGTCTTTGATACAGTTGGGAGTTGGTCTGTTGTGTGTCGTGACACTTTTGTGGGCTCGCTGGTAAGTGGGACCTGATCTGCAATGCTAAGATGCCCAAAGTGTCTCAAGCTGCTGTTGTCCTGCTGGTGGCTGAGGTCCAGCAGGTGTTAGGACTAGTCTCACCTGCTGCTGGCTGGGCTGAGTCTTGGTATAGGAAAATGCCATTGTCAAGGGGCTTGTATATGTCTGCCTGTGGCTGGGATTTATTTCTACCTGGCTTGTTACTTGGTCCGAGATGACCCAGCATTGGTGCCTTCAGGCTGGTGAGTGGGGTGGGCCAGACCTGGTCACAAGGCTATAAGCTGCAGGGAGGATTCCAAACCCGTGCTTCACAGCACCAGTTCTGAGATGGTAGAACCAACTCCCCAAAGTGGCCGTACCAGTGTCTGGGTCCCTAGGCTAACCTCTGCCTTTCTGCGAGATTTTTTAGGATTGACAGTAGTTCTGACCAGTCTCCTTTCAAATTACTGCTCCTTCTCTAGCTCTCAGAGCATGTGAAATTTTGTGGGCACCTTTTCATTTAAGAGTGGAGTCTTTCTTTTCCACAGTATCTGGATCTCTCCAGAGTAAGTCCCTCTGACCTTCAAAGCCAAACAGTCTGGGGCCTTGTCTTCCCCACACAGGACACCGGGGCTGGGGAGGGTGATGTCTGGCTTATTCTCCTGCTCCTTGTAAAGGGTCTCTATACCTGCCATTCGTCTTCCATTCTTAGGTCTCCCACCTGTACTGCCATTTCTCTCCACCTGCCCATCTAGCTGTGGTTCCTCCTTGTATCTTTTGTTGTAGAAATATTTTCTGGTAGGTTGGTCTCTGTCATTGATACTTGATCTGTAAATTGTGTAATTTTGGTATGCCTCTGAGAGGAGGTATGCTTAGGGTCTTCCTAGTCCATCATCTTGGGAACTCTTGAACAATAATTTCTTAATATATGATTCTCCATTTGGTAGAATTCTAGTTCCTTCTAGTCCATTTAAACCTAGAGCAAAATTTTTAAAAATTTATACAAGTTATGTCATGATGGGAGAAAGGTTTTCCTTGTAAGTAGAATACCACTTTTTATCTAGGCTCAGATCTCATTCCTGATTTTCACATTATATATTTCATATTCTTGACAAATTCAGTTCTAGTTTTTTGTTTCATTGGGGGGAGGAGTAGTATCAAAATCATCTACAGTTAATTTTAACTGAGTAAAGGGTACTATTTTTTTTGAAAAAACAAAGGGATTTCTGAAATCCTATGTCTCCAGAGTGTCTCCTTGAGACTTAACTGTTCTACAGCTTACCTTACTCAGCCTTCCCCACCCAGATGCCTTCAGTGTATCATGGGAGTTAAGTTTATGATCAGATGGTGGGTGGGTGGCATAATTATGAATCATGTATTTTAAATTACTAGTGTTTCTTTAGGGGAAAAGGCTGTTTTGATGATAGGGAGTCAGGGAAAAGGAATTCCTAAAGGGAAGCTACTCAGCTGCACTTAATTGTGGTAGTTCTCAAGACCTGGCACCTCACATTTTATGTTACGGCGAGAGTTAGATTTCTAATTTTGCTCCACCCCTTTTTTTCGTATACACAGGACTGATTCCTCTAGTAAAGTGAGTGGGCTGGTATCTAGTTACTTAACCTCTTTAAACAGCAGAAAGTAAACAGTACTTTGATTCCTCCAGGGTGTTTCAGTAAAGACCAAGTGTACTTGGACGGCATCCTGCAGATCCTCCGCTACAGAGAGACCATTGACTTCCATCTCCTGACCACCCTGGGGAAGGTGAGAGAGCAGTGGCACACAGCTCCCAGACACGCCAGATCGGCGTTTCCTCCAGCTCAGTTCATGAGGAACTAGGTCTCAGGCTGAAACTCCTTAGCAATAAAATCATATTCCTTATGTGATAACAGGAAGGAAGAAATGGGGTTCTGTCACAGAACCAAGTTACACTGTTTCTTTGTGGACAGTAAGAAAAAGAAGGAAATTTGGAACCATTAATTTTTATATGCATATTTTTCTAAAATATTTTAAAGTGAGCTGCAGGTATAACTCTACTCCCCTTCATGCGTTGGCATGATCTCCCAAGAACAAGGATATTCTCTGACATGACCATATGATTTTCTAAAGAAATTTATCATTGATTCCATATAATGCCTGAAGAAAGTCCACTTCATATTCTCCAGATCATCTCCAAAATGCCCCTTGTAGCTTTTTCATGACCCCAAATCCAGTCAAGATTTATGTCTTGCATTTAGTTGTTCTCTTTAAACTGTTAATTTATAAAGTCCCCCTCACCCTAGTCTTTTCCTTTTTTATGACATTTTTAAGAATTCCGGACAATCTCCTTGAGAATTCCTAGAATCTGGACTATCAGATTGTTTTCTTATCATTAGCTCCAGGTTAAACATTTTTGCCAGGAAATACTGCTTGAAGGAGTCACGTGTCTGTCTCTCACTGTGTCACATTAGACAGCATGTAGTATTAGTCCCATTATTAGTGATGCTGTGCTTAGTCACCAGGGTAAGTTAGTTACTGCCAGATCTCGCCATTGCAAAGGTACCTTTTCACCACTGCATTAATAAGTAATTTGTGGGATGATACCTTTAAATGTACTATTCTCTGACCTTTCTAGAAATGGTTTTAACATCTCTTGATGATTTTTGCCCAAATTAGTTACTACACTGGTAGTAGCAAAATAGAGATATTTGAATTCTGTTATATTTCACTCCTCCCTTTTATCAGCTCTTCCAATGACTGCTCCTGTGTTTTTAAAAACTTGTCTACATGTTTCCCAGCAAAGTAAAATATTCTGGGTTCACCTTAGATATTTCTTCAAGGAAATCTTGATTCCTCTTAGTGGGAAATGGTATTTAGAAAACAACATCTCAGCACAAGGTATGTACATCACTTCTGGGGTGCTGATACTTCTAGACCTTTTCAATGAGCAAACTGTATATTTGTTTTAAATCATAAGGACATTCTAATTCAAATCAGACACCACAAGGTGCTTTTACAACCCTTTCCTTTCATGTGTGTATCTCCTTTTTCTTAAAATGAGAACCTTACTTCCCAGCATCAGTCTCATTAAACTCAGAATGGTTGAAGATAAAACTACCTCAGTATCAACACCAAACCTACTTCCTATCACCTACTACACTTAGTGACATAAATATTCAATAAAATAGTTGAGTGTTGATCAGAGGATAATAGTTCTTAAAACCAACCATGTTTTGAAATTTCACATTGCACAGATAAAATTTTCACCCCTAAGCTTAATATAGTACCTGTGAAAGACTGGCTTCAAAGAGATGTGAAATTTTAAAAAATACTTAAAATTTCAAAGCAAGAGAATTTAACAAAACACAAATTGTATTTGTCAAACTAAATAGAAAAAAGAATTTAATATACAATTGTGCTGATTTTTCTAATGTATTAATACAGCATTTACATTCTATTTTCTCAATTCTCTTAGATTTAGGCAGGAGATTTGTTTAGTTGTTGAATTTCTAGACAAACTATAGCCAAAAGAGATTGTTAAATCACATACTTTATAAAATGTGGTGAGCGTATGCATCGAACACAGTAAAGTTTTATTTTCCAGGTATTAATTTGAAAAACAGTTTACCTACTTCAGACTTCATTAAGACCAAAGGAAGAAATTGCCCTTCAAAATCTAACTGGTAGTCACATTTAAAAATTAACCGATCTTCCTTTTTTCAGGTCTCTTACGAAGATGTGGATCGCTTAAAAGGATTGGCAGTTACTGAAAACATGAGGATTCCTCACTTTTTGCAGGACCATAGCCGATATATGGAGCACTTAGAGAAGATCATGGAAGTGAATGAACTGACTGACAGAGAGCTGAAAGACCTCATATGTTAAATAGTATCCTTGCGAACATAGCTAAGTTATACCTCCATGTATATTACCAGTTAGGTGCAGTTGGCACCAGCAGATTTATAAAAGAAGAATGGCTATTTACATGAGTTTTCTGAAGAACGGTCTGCAGTATTCAGCTAAATAAGTTGAGAACAAATGTTAAACTGTTTCCCTAAAATGTTTCTGTAGGCTCCAGGGGACAGTTACTCCTGTTCTTACCTGAATCTCAGATGCAGATGAAAATACTGCTGACAGGTGTCTTTGAGGAATCCTGGTCAAATGGAGTGATCAGCGTCTTCCTGAGCCGTAAGCGTTGGTCTCAGTGCCCCTGTCTGAGCACCAGGACCAGCTCTGCCTAGAGATCGAAGTCCAGTGTGGTTCAAACTCCAGGGGTCTGTCTGATGTAATAAATGATGGTGATTATTCTCCTTTGAAAAATCAGTCTGTGTTATAACCCCAAAAAGCTAGAAAATAAGAAATTTAAGACTTATTTTCTTATATGTTAAGTAATGTTAAAGGGAAGGGAAAAGCAGTTTTTAAAGTTATTAGTTCATTTTTGTCCAGTTATCCCTTAGCTAAACTTGGTTTTTTTTTTTTTTTCTAAACTTGGTTTTCATTTGCTGAAATATAGTGTACCTCTTCAAAATTTTAACAAAGTTTCAGGGTCTTTTCTCCCCATTCCTTTCTATTCCTTTATGTAAATGAAAATACAAGTCTCAGAGAGGTTTTTCTACCTAAATAGTTGGGCAGGAGAGAAGCCACTTACCTTTTTTTTTTTAATTAAATGGAGCAAGGAGCGGATGTTGACTGGGTAGCATCTACAGTAAGCTTAACTATACTCTGAGAAGCAATTTCTGGGCATTCCATTTGATAAACTGGCTCTGTGATATTGGTTCAGAGTATTTAATCAAAATCTTTGACTTCATCAAGCCAAAAATGATATAGTTTGAATTTCAAAAATGAGTTCTGTTTCACTACACTTACACCTAGCTTTGTCATTTATCAATTTCAATGTATACTTGTGTGTGTTTTATATATATATATATACACATACACACACACACACTTGGGATCAAGTGGTTTTTCAAACAGCTTTTTTAGTAATCAGAAAGAATACTGCTGTAAATACCCCATTGAAAATTGCTGTTGTAATTTCTACCCAGAGTGTGTGAGTGTATCTTTACCTCAATTCAGGCTTAACCATGGTGCTAACACTGGTAGATGTACTCTGCAAAGCTGGTTCACATTCATGCTAGGAAAGGATTTTATCAACTCTCTTGCAGACTAGGTTATGTGATTTTTCTCCTTCACATATCTAGAAGGGCTCACCTCAGAGAATGATACGCTTCAGACCGGTACCTGGCAGTTCTTGCAAAGCCACATGTTTTGCCTAATTAAGCAGGCCAGGCCCTGTGGAGCACTGAAGGCGTTGGACCTGTGTCATGCAGGCTGGAGTGTGCCCTGCCCATCTCTGCAGGGCTGGGGGCACAGTGCAGCAATACCAGCCAGACACCAGAATACCACTCTTGTCCCTTCAGGCATTATTTACCTGTAGCACAGTCACCCAGTTCCAGCTTTTGTGTAGTGTTTTCTGACTTGATCTTCAAACTTATCAAAGGTAATTGTGACAACAATGTTTTATTAACTAAATTGAAACACAGAAATGGCAATATTGATGTCCTGTGACTTAAGCCTAAATGCTTATAAATTCAACATTTGTAGGCAATAACACTGCTAATCTTACGTTATGGTTTAAATATAAAGGAAAACCATAGCAGCCTTAATTTTCTAGTGGTAGGATTGTTTGTAGTGGTTTCGGTCCCTGAATTTTAAAATGGATAGATATTATATGATCTGAAAAAGGAAAACCTTTCTTGCCTTACTGCTTTGGTATAGAGACAAAAAACATGAGTACTATCTGGACAAAAAGGAAAAAAAGACCTTAAATCACACTGATTAAGATATTTCAAAAGTTAGCACTGAACCAAAAGTAGTTCAAGATTAGCAGAAATACTTAAAGAGCTCTAAGCTTTAAAAGTTGAGATTGAAGATTTAATGTTTATTCTCTTTCTCAAAATAGCATTAAGGTCAGTTTTGTTCTCCCAAAATAAAAGTTTTTAGAAATAGAAAATTGTAGCAGCGGTACTTAGAATAGTTGAAGCTCATACTAGTTTTAATTAATCAGTTGCTATAGGCTACTGATTAGGATTTCACCAATTTTGTCCACTGTAATTCTAACATAGCTGTGTCAAAGTCTGATAAACTGTTAGGTTTTCGCAAACATGAATCCATAGTCGTCTTTATATTTTCACCTTTGTAAAAGTGTTTAAAGTGTGTACCATTTGTTTTATATCTGAGCATTTGGTGTCTAGCTGCAATAGAAATAAATAGCACTGAGGTTCTCAAATGAATTACGTCAATATATATGCATGCAAACTTCTGTTCTTTTAAAACTTATGTTTTTATTGTTGTATTTCTGGGTATTTATTGTGGTAAGTATTTCAATACCATCAATACCATCTGTCTTCTAGTATTCTTATTTATAGAGAAATACTGCATTTGCCACACCCTGCCTTTCCTCTGATTAGCTCAGTGTATCTCCCCATGGAGTACAGGAAAAAGGAGAGAGGGAAAAAGTCTGTCTTAATTTACTACCCTGTTTGTTTAGTTATACATAATCTCCTGAGGAGCAGGCTCTGTGCTGGGTATTAGAGGTCCTCTGATGAGAAAGACAAGAAACTTTCACACTCCGGTGAGGAAGAGGCACAGACCCAGGTTACAGCAGTGCCAGTACCGTACCCAAAAGTATTCCCAAAAGAATGAAAACCAGAGTAAACAGGTCTGCTCATGTATCTGAAGCATAGAGAGAAAGATCCCTTGCAAAGTAGTACGTATTCACAACATTTTATTACCATTCTTTGCAAGGCTTGTTTGGAGCCTGAACAACTTTAGCCTAGGGGCTAAAGAATACAGCTGTTTGGGTCATCAGAGGCCCTGAGGCGATCCCTTGAGCAGGTGCCCAAGGGAGTCAACACATTGACCTTGTCAGTTGGCTGTAATTACATTTTTGTTCACTCTAATTCCAGTGGCTAAAGAAATTAATATCTTGAAACTGCTAGGATAAGAAATACCAATGTTTTTTAGCTAGTTTTAAGAATATGTGGAATTTCAAGTACTCAGAAAGCATATGGAGATGAAGTGAGAGGGCAGCCATCTCTAAGTCAAAGAGAGAGGCCCAGAACAGAGCCTTGCCCTGTGGTTCTCAGGAAAAACCAAACTTTCCAACACCTTAATCTTGAACTTCTAGCCTTCAGAACAGAGAACTGTGCCTGAAGAACAGGGACAAAGCTAAGAGAAAATCTGACCACTGAGAAGAGACTACTGAAAACTCATTTCTTCTAGCTGCCTTCACAAAAGACAGCCAACTTCAGAAGTGACATCAACCTGGCTGAGTAAGTTTTCCCTTGTGTGTGTCACCCACCCCAGACAATTTGGCATCCGTCTGCAGACACAGCTGACTTCGTGAGAGCTTTGGGAGCCAACACTACACGCCAGGCTACCTGATAGGACTCTCTCCTGCCCATGCATTGGGTGATAGGCGCGCAGACCTAGGTCCTGGCTTGGCCCCTGCAGTGGCTGTGAGCCCGCTGCAGTGTGGAAGCCCCTGGAAAGTACTGTCTTAGACAGTCACCCACAGACAAGAGCGCCTTTGTGGAAGTCTACATTTCCAGTGGAGCAGTAAGTGAGTATAGGTTTTGAAGAGGAAGAGTTTGATTTTAACCTCATTATGCTTCCCCCAAGGTGGCACAGTTCAGGGCCAAGAGCAACCTCCTCAGTCTGTGGTTTCTCCTGGATGGGAAAATGTGAGTGAGTTCGTTCCCAGCTTCTCTAACTGTGTGGGAGGCTGCCAAAAGGATCCATTTCTCTCCTGCCTCCTCCAGATGACAGACTCATGAGCTGCATGGCAGGGAGGCGAAAGTTGGTTTGAGAACAGCAGAGAGGCTCTGTGACCCTTTAAAGCCCTCCAAGGGTCCTCCTGGGGCCTCCCAGGTGGCACAGTGGTAAAGAACACGCCTGCCAGTGCAGGAGTTGCAGGTTCAATCCCTGGGTCAGGAAGATCCCTTGGGGTGGGAAATGGCAACCCACCCCAGTATTCTTGCCTGGAAAATTCCATGGGCAGAGGAGCCTGATGGGCTGCAGTCCACAGGGTCGCAGAGAGTCAGACATGACAGCATGCATGCAAGCACACACACGAGTCCTAACTGATGGTCCCATCAGGAAGCTAGCCCACAGGGGACGCCTTACCCACAGATCTCCTGACTGGCCCATGGGAACCAGCAGTGCACCAGTGCCTCACACACACACCATCCTAGGGCCGGCTCCCTGTCTGCACTCCTGAGCAACAGACTGCTAGTGAACATGAAGAAAAAATGCCAGCCTGAATCTGCAGGCCAGAGAGAGACCACAGACATGAGCTTTAGCCCCACTCTTGGGAAAGCAGAAGGGAGTTGTCAGCATCTAGCCTTCTGCATTGCAGAATCAAGAGAAGACACACAAGCTTAAGAATTCTGCCATAAGAGAGCAAAGACTGTGGAGCAGACTTACCCATGGCTAATCAGAGGAAGCCTCAGAATCTCTAGCAGGGATGACTAAAGTTATTTCTCTCCTGAAGCAGTTTGTGAAGACTAAAGGAAGTGACTGCTTCTTCAACTACAAAGACAACAAAGCAAAACTTTAAGAAAATATGACACTACTAAAGGATTATGATAATCTTCAATTGATCCCAAAGACATGGAGATCTATAATTTACAGGAGAAAGAGTTAAAAATAACTGTTGTAAGGAGGCTCAGTGAGCTAAAAACAATGTTGATGAAACAAGAAAACATGAATAAAATGAGCAGTTTAACAAAGAGATAGAAGTCATAAAGGACCAAATGAATTCTGAAGTAGAAAAATACAATGAATGAAATGAAAAATAGCATATCAGAATGTGTCAAGCAGAAAAAAGAATCTGTGAGATAGATGATGGGAACTTTGAGATTATTCAGTCAGAGGAAAACAAAGAAAGTGAAAAAGAATAGTGAAACCCTACATGATCTATGGGATACAATCAGAAGAAAACATTTGTAAATTAATGATGTTCCAGAAGGAGAAAGGGGTAGAAAGCTTATTAAGGAAATAATAGCTGAGAATTTCCCAAATCTCAGGGAAAATTTGGAAATTCATCAGTCAAACTCGGAGATCGTCTTCAAGACATGCCATAATAAAACTATAGGAGACAGTCTTTAAAAGGGCAAGAGAAAAGAAGCTTGTAACTTACACGGGAACCTCCATACTATAATTAAGCAGATTTCTCAGTGAAAACCTTACAGGCCAAGAAACAGTGGAATGGTATATTCGAAGTGCTGAGAGGAAACTGCCAATGGTAAAAAGTTGTTCAGAAATGGAGAGAGAAAGACTTTCTCAGACAAACTAAAGTTAAAGAAGGTCATTACCACTAGATATGCCTTCCAAGAAGTACTTCCAAGCACAATCTCAAGAGGATGTTTTTTGATAAGTTGATTCTAGAGCTCTATTAGACAGTACATAAAAATGTTAAAAACATGTATATCCTTAATGCAACAATTCCACAATAAGTACACATATACTATCACACACTCATTCATCACAAATACATTGTATATACATGTGCAAAAATAATATATGTAATGTATCTTTGTGCAAAGATATGGGTCTTTGTACTGCAAAAAAAGAGTAGAAACAACCTTAAAATTTATTAGCAAGGAACTAGTTAGATGATACCTACAGGTTAAAACTATACAGCCTATTTAAAAACAAAGTAGACCTGTATGTATTGATGTAGATTCTACATCATTGTAGAACAATCTCCAAAATTTGTTTTGAAATATGCTTTTTTACTTAATAGTGTTTGAAGTCAGTTCATATTTGATTTTTAAAAAAGGGATGGTATGTATATGTACATGTACACACACTTGTATAGCCACAGAACATCTCTGATAAGCTCCACAAGACACTGGTGACATTGAAGGACTAGAAGTCAGAAGTAAGAGACTCATTTTTACTCCATACTATTTTTATTTGACTTTACTATATGCACATACTGTCTTTAAAATTTTCTTGCATTTTTGAGTCCATGTTTATTGCTTTACTCAGTATGGATGTGAGCCGAATTCTAGGTTTAATAACTGCATTTTGAAATTTAAAATTTAATATTAGAAAATGAAATGATATGAAGTGTCCTTTCCACCTGTGACTCCCATTGCTGCAGCTCTCCCCCAACAGAGAGAACTATTTTCAGTTTCTTATAAAACTTACCACTTCTTATGTACACAAACATAAAATATATATAAATATATATAGGAGAAGGAAATGGCAACTCACTCCAGAATTTTTGCCTGGAGAGTCCCATGGACAGAGCCTGGCAGTCCATGGGTTGCAAAGAGTCAGACACGACTGAACAACTAACGTGTGCACACATACATATATAATACTTTTCATCTTTCATCCTTTTTTACAGAGATTACTATCATATAAATAATTCTGCATGTGTTGCTCTTTCCACTTAATTACATACCTTAGAACCAAAGTCACAAGTCAAAAAAGAAAAACAGACTGGACATTTTTAAAGTTAAATATTCTCAGAGGAGGCAACAAGATGGCAGAGTAAAAGGAGCTCGCCTTCTCTCACAAACACACCAAAATCACAACTAACTGATGAGTAACCGTCAGAAAGAGAGACGGGAACCTACCAGAAAAGATACTCTACTTCTGAAGACAAAGATGCCACAGTGAGATGGTAGGAGGGGCACTCTCGTGATATAATCAAATCCCGTACCTGCCAGGGGCTCTCCCACGTGACTGAGAGTTCTGAGTCCCGTGTCAGGCTCCCCAGCCTGCGGGTCTGGCATTGGAAAGAGGAGCTCCCAGAGCATTTGGCTTTTGAAGGCAAGTGGGGCTTGAGAGCAGGAATTTCACAAGACTAGGGGAAACAGACTCCACTCTGGAGGATGCATACAAAGTTTCATAAGCACTGGGAACCAGGGCAAAGCAATGACTCCATGGGCACCTGGAACAGTTTGCCTGAAGGTCTCAGCGGCGTCTTCCTGGGGAGACAGGAGTCAGCTGTAGCTCGCTGTAGGGGGAAGGACACTGGTGGTAGAGGCCCAGGGCGTAATCATCAGTGTCAGCTCTCCTGGAGGTTGCTGTTTTGGCCCTGAGACCTGGCCCCATACAGCAGCATTTAGGCTCCAGTGCTGGATTGCCCCAGGCCAGACCACCAACAGGGTGGGAACTCAGCACCACCTCTCGCAGACAGCTTGCCTAAAGTCCCGAGCCCACAACCACCTCTAAGCACATCCCTGCCCACCACAGGTACATGACTTCACTTGACCCACCAGGAACAGACACCAATCCCTCCCATCAAAGCCTGCATGAGACCATGGAACAGCCTCACCCACGAGGGGGCAGACACCAAAAGCAAGAGGAACTACAAAACTGCAGCCTGAGAAATGGAAACCACAAAATTAGACAAAATGAGGCAGCAATGAAATATGGTCCAGATTTAAAAAAACAAAATTACCCCCAAAACTAAGTGAAGTAGAGAGAAGAAATCTGCCTGAATAAGAATCTGGAGTAATGATAGTAAAGATGATTCAAGATCTCAGAAAAAGAATTATTATAGCACAGGCTGAGAAGATACAGGAAATGGTTAACAAAGAGCCAGAGAATTAAAGGATAGAGATGAACAATACAATAACTGAAATGAAAAATAACACTAACTAGAAGGAGTCAACAGCAGAATAAATGAGACAGAAGAATGAATAAGCGGGCGTTAAAACATTGATGGAAATCACAGCTATGGAACAGAATAAAGAAAAAAGAAGGGAAAGACATCCTAAGAGACTACTGGGACAACATTAAACACCAACATTAGCATTATAAGGGGCCCAGAAAGAGAAAACAGAGAAAGGGCCTGAGAAAATATTTGAAGAGAGTATAGCTGGAAACGTCCCTAAAATTGGAAAGGAAATACTCAAGTCCAGGAAGTGCAGAGTCCCATACAGGATAAATCCAAGGAGGAACATATTAACCAGACTGACAAAAATTGGTTGCAAATGGCAAAGAGAAAATATTAAAAGCAACAAGGATGGAAAGCAACAAAAATATACAAGGGAATCCTCATATGGTTATCATCTGATTTTTCAGCAGAAACTGCACGTGAGAAGAGAATAGCAGGATATATTTAAAGTGATGAAAGGGGAAAACCTACAAGAATACTCAGCAAGGCTCTAGTTCAGATTTGCTAGAGAAATCAAAAGCTTTACAAACAAACAAAAATTAAGAGAATTCAGCACCACCAAACCAGCTTTACAACACATGCTAAAAGAACTTCTCTGGGCAGAAAAGGCCACAACCACAAAGAGGAAAATTAGGAATGGAAAAGCTCACTGATAAAGGCGAACATACACATTTGTCCGCACACAAATATGGTATCAAAACCAGCAATCATGAGGATGAAAATGTAGGATATTGCAAGTGCATTTGAAATTAAAAGACTAGCAACTTAAAAAAAATCTTGTGTGTGTGTATATATATATATAGAGAGAGATGCGTACACACACACACATACAGAGATTGTTATAGCAAAACCTTATGGTAACCACAAACCAAAAATCAACAATAGATACACACAAAAGAAAAAGCAGTCCAAACACAACAGTAAAAATAATCAAACCACACAAGAACAAGAGAGGAAGGGAAGAAAAAAAGAACTTCAAGAACAAATCCAAGACAATTTTTAAAATTGCAATTAAAGCATACATATCAATAATTACCTTAAATGTAAACAGATTAAATGCTCCAACCAAAAGACATAGACTGGCTGAATGGATACATAAACAAGACTTGTATATATGCTGTCTATAATAGACCCACTTCAGATCTAGGAAAACACTGAGATAGAAGCAAAGGGATGGGTAAAGTTATTCAAATGAAAATCAGAAGATCTGGAGTAGCAATATTCATCTGACAAAATAGATTTTAAACACTTATAAGAGACAATGGAGGACACTGCATATCAAGGGGTCAATCCAAGGAGAAGATTTAACAATTGTAAATATATATGCAGGCAACACAGGAGCACCTCCATATATAAGGGAAATGATAACAGTCATAAAAGGAAAAAAACAGTTACACAAAAACAGTGAGGAACTTTAACACCCCACTAACATCAAGGGACAGATCATCTAGACAGAAAATCCATATGGAAACAAAGGCCTTAAATGAGTCTTTAGACCAGATGAGTGCAATTGTTATTTATAGAATGTTCCATGTGAAGGCAGAATATACATTCTTCACAAGTGCACATGGGCATTCTCAGATAGATCACATGCTGGGAGCCAAAAAGCAAGCATGGTCAATTTAAGAAAACTAAAGTCATATCACACATCTTTTCTGACCACAACACTATGAGATTAGAAATCAAAAGATGAAATTTAAAAAATACCAACACACAAATGAAAGGTACAATAATTAAAAACCTATGGGATGCAGCAAAAGCACTTTTAAGAAGTTCACAGCAATAAAATCATAACTCACAAAACAAAAATCTAAAACAACAGAAACTTACGCCTAAAGCAACTAGAGAAAGAAAGAAAACCCAAAGTCAGTAGATGGAAAGAAATCATAAATATCAGAGCAGAAATAGAGATGAAGAAAACAGAAAAGATGAATGAAACAGAGCTGGTTCTTTGAAAAGATAAAATCAATAAACTCTTAATCATATCAACCAAAAGGAGAGAGGGCTCAAATCAATTAAATATGAAATGAAAAAGAAGTTACAATGGACACCGCAGAAGTATAAAGGATCATAAGAGATTACTGTATGCCAATAAAATGGACAACTAGAAGAAATGGACAAATTCTTAGAAAAGTAAAATCTTTTAAGACTGAACTAGAAATAGAATATATGAACAGAACATTCCAAGTACTGAAATTGAAACTGTGATTTAAAAACTTTCAACAAACAAATGTCCAGGACCAGATGGCCTCACAGGTGATTTCTATCAAACATTTAGAGAAGTGTTAACACCTGTCCTTCTGAAACTGTTCCAAAAAATTGCAGATGAAAGAATACTCCCAAATTCATCCCAGAGCCACCATCACGCTGATACCAAAACCAGAAAAAGATACCAGGAAGAAAAAGACCAATATCACTGATGAACATACATGTAAAAATCCTTGACAAAATACTAAGAGATTGAATCCAACAATACATTGAAAGGATCATACAACATGATCACCTGGGATTTATCTCAGGGTTGCAAGGATTTTTCAATATCTGCATCAATCAGTGTGATATACCACACTGAGTAAAAACCATATGATCATCTCAATTGAGGCAGAAAATGCTTTTTGATAAAATTCAACACCCATTTATGACAAAATCTCTCCAGAGAGGGGGCATAGAGGGAATCTACCTCAACGTGATAAAGGCCATATATGACAAACCCACAGTTAAATCATACATAATGGTGAAAAGCTGAAAGCATTTCCTCTAAGATCAGAAACAAGACAAGGATGTCCACTCTTACGTTTTTTCCCCAACAATTTTGGAAGTCCTAGCCACAGCAATCAGAAAACAAAAAGAAATCAAAATTGGAAAGGAAGGGAAACTGTCACTGTTTGCAGATGACATACTATACATAAAAAATCCTAAAATGCTACCAGAAAACTACTTGAGTTGATCAATAAATTTGGTAAGGTTGCAGGATAAAAAAATTGATAAAGAAATCCTTTGCATTTCTATACATTAACCACAAAAGATCAGAAAGAGAAATTAAGGAAACAATCCCATTTATAATTGCATCACAAAGAACACAACATCTGAAATACATCTAAGGAGGTAAAAGAAAACTATTGGAAAAGTATAAGACACTGATGAAAGAAACAGAAGATGACAAATGAGTTAGAAGAATTTACTATTGTTAAAATGATTATACTACCCAAGTATACTAACCAATTCAGTGTAATCCTTATCAGAACACCAATGACATTTTTCACAGAACTAGATCAAGTAATTCTAAAATTTGTATGGGAACACAAAGACCCCAAATAGTAAAACAATCTTGAGAAAGAAGAGCAAAACTGGAAACATCACACTCCCTGATTTCCAGTTATACTACAAAGCTATAGTAATAGCATGGTTCTGGCAGAAAAAAAAAACACGAGGTTACATGGCCAATTGATCTCTGACAAAGGAGGCAAGGATATACAACGGGGAAAAGCCTCTTCCATAAGTGATGTTGGGAAAACTGGACATCTGCATGCAAAAGAATGAAACTGGACTATTCACACTATATAAAAAAAACTCAAAATATATTAAAGAATTATATGTAAGACCTGAAACCATAAAACTACTTGTAGAAAACACAGGCAGTAGGCTCTTTGACAACTGTCTTACCAATAATTTTTTTTGGATCTGTCTCCATCAATAGAAACAAAAGC